CACCCTCCATTCCCTCCTCCTACCTTCAGCTCCAGCTACACCCAAAGCAACACCCAGTTTCAAGCAGACCACAGCATCAGGCATGGGGGGCAGTACAAGTACGAGAAGCCCATGGACAGCAGGAGGTCCCCAGAAAGAGGGTATCGGCACGATGATCACAGGCGGAAGTGCTTTGGCTATGGAGGCCACGGCGACAGGCACAAAATGGAATTTCCCGGAGAGAGGAAGGACCGCGGGAGAAGTCCAGACAGGCGCAGCAGGCAAGAGGGTGGGCGGTATAGGTCTGAATACGACAGAGGCCGGACTCCCCCCAGACACAGGAGCAGGGATCGCAGCAGGTACACAGACGGCGCTCTGCCAAATGAAATCAATCAGTGAAATGATTTCCTTTTAACTGCTCTGTCTGTTCACAGAGAGCGGTATCGGCACAGAGACAGTCGGAGATCCCAGTCACCCGACAGGCACAGAAAGAGGCCTCGAAGGTACACGTGTTGCTTTGTTTGGCTTACTGCAGCTGTTGTGAAATAGTACTCATCGATAAACCTTTTAAATCTGTAATAGACAAAGTTTAAGGTCACAAAGAAAAATCCTTGGTTTTGAAAGAAAAGCGTTCATAGTTGTTTTTTAACCAGCATTTCACACATCAGTACAGAAGATGTTTTTAGATTATATTAGAGAGAACACCCTGAAGAAATTATACTTTTTCTTTCCCTGAATCATAGGAAAAAAATCTCTGCCATTGCTTTACTTCCTGTTTTGACTTCTTTTGCTCCTATGCTGTAACCAGGGCAGTGACGTTAAACCAAGCTGTAGTGTAGTCGATTGTCTCAAGCATCAACCTTTGTGGCTCCATTATAGTCTCTAAATGGCAATTGAGACAATTTGGAAAATTACCAAAAGAAAGTAACTGTCATGCAAATATGTTGACTACTCTCTTTATAATCGGCACATTTTAGTTATGGTGGATTTATTTTATGGAGCAGTAAGTTGAGGATTTCTGAGCCTCCTGTTTATCAGACAAGAGACTTTGGTCTACTGGCATTGTTCAGTTTTGCACTGTAGCCTCCTAAGTTCTCTTTCCACAGTAGTTAAAGCTGGATTGTGCCCAACTGAGAAG